ATTTCTCCTATTTTATCCTTTAAGTCTTTAATAGTTAATAATGTATAACTATGGCATGGTTTATAGGTTACCTGGAAAGAGTGGAAGTAATCAGAACTTGATCAGTTACTTCAACAGAAAATAAGCCAACAACAGAAGTCAAAATTTAAACCATGTAATTTTCCTGTTTCACCATTTAGTGAGCCCCCAACTCAAAGGGTAACTATAACTTGGGGGAGTTGCAGACTGCCAGAAATAGTGCAAATTGAGTCCACTTTTAGGGTTAGGGTTAGTGCTAGGGAATCATGGGAATTGCTTTTTTTCTGAGACATTGAGCCTTCTCTGTCAGAGAACTCTGCTGCCACAATAAAATGCAGTTCCCATGATTCCCTAACCCTAACCCTAACCCTAAAAGTGGATTCAATTTGCACTATTTCTGGCAGTCTGAAACCCCCCCTTGGTTACATCATAGAGGGGGGAAAAGTATTAAGTTACAAGTGGAATAAGGTATAACCATACTTTTTTTTATTAGAAAAATGGATTGATTGCAGGGCAACTAGTTATTTGTAACTTGTTCTTTCCAAGCTGTGTCTTGAGTCACTGCAGCCAGAACACCTCTTAGGGCATTCCATGTGAAGACAGAAACGTCTTCACATGGAAGACAGAAGACAGAAACAATGATGGCAGGTTGATTGAAGACAGAAACAATGACTCTACAGTCTAGTTTGAACTGACTTGGTAATATGTAGACTAGAATTTGTTGGCTACTGTTAGCAAAAGATATAGCTGTCATGCCTCAATATATATTAAATTTTCCTTGCTGGTATTTCTACCAGATTTGCTTACAAACACCAAAGAGCTGGTCTAGTATAGCTGACTGCAGGGTGGGGACTTATGGCCCTCCAGCTGTTGTTGAACTACAACTCTCATGATCTATAGCTGAAATGAGTCATAAGGGGACTACAAAAATGAACACTGTTTCTTTATTGTAAGTCAAATTATATATACCTCAAATAATAATTCCATACTCTTCCCAACTTCCAAGCGCCCCTACAGTTTCCTTCTGTCTCATGTAATTCTATGTGGGATACTTGTCATAACCAGGTGTATAACAGATCTAGGATTTACAGGGTTGAAGATCTATGTAGGAGGAGGGCCTTGCATCCTGCACCACTACCACTACCACCTCCACCACCTAGATCAAATCATCCACACAAGTCAAATCATACATCTTTTCCATCCTTGTGTCAATCAGTCCAGATGATGCAGGGCCAAATCCCCAATTCTGGTGTGAACTGTCCTGATGATCCATGGCCAGGTCATCACCAAACCTGCTTTATATCACCCTTAAAAAGGATTTTAAAAACTCACCTTTTGCTCTGGATCTTCCTGGAAAATCTGGAGTCTGCTAGAGTGACACCAAGTGGCTGTTTATACAGCATCCTGTTGTGTGTCTGCCACAGGTGCCAGAACAAGTAGCTCCCTCTGAGGTCAGACAGCAGTGCCCAGCCATGTGATTGATGCTGGGCACCTCATTTTCAGCCTCAGGGGGAGCAACTCACATTGGTGGCAGGAGACAATACAGAAGGATGCACATACAAACAGCTGCTTGGCATTGCTCCACAGTGGCCGAGTAATAGGGGGACAAAGAGGCAGCTTTAGCATTAGAATATTCCAGGCTGCTCCCAGAAACGTTATCCTGAAACATTCAGACATGGCCCTAGTGGTACACATATGGTGGTCCCGACTTTTCTGTCTCAAAACAAAGGGGAAAGTTTGTTGGACTCAGATCAAGTGTTCTCTTCTCTTCAGCCCCAAACAAATATTTATGTATTTATTGTTAAGGAAAATGCAAAATGGGACATACAGTGATAGAAATATGTATGTGAAAGTCACAATGACTA